TCGAAATACTATCAAGTATCAAATCAAATCGAGTTGCAAAGAGTTGTTTTATGATCTTGATATATTTCAAAATGTAACAAATTTAGCTCGTTTTTTTCGTGAATTCAGTTCCAAAATTTTTCCTATAATTTAGTGAATCGAATTCATCAATCAACAAACCTGAAAATAACAAAGATAATACTTCTCTTTTAAAAATCCTTTCATTTCAATGCAAGTTGTTGTATGATCTCCACCAATTACTTTCCTTTATTTTTCCATGCTCATTTGCATTTTTGCTTGCCTTGCCTTAGCTAAATTTAGTTTTTAAAACCTTCTTTGAAGCTCACCCTATACTGTTTGCCATTCAAATAAAATATTCATCTCCAAAACCTAGGTAGAACAAAACTTAGGATCTATTTTCACATAAAATGTTGACATCTCAGTATTATTTTTCTAGTTACATCATCATCCATGTTATAAAGTTGACAACTATGATTATCAACTGTTTCATTGTCATAAACCATATAATATTTTTCAATTATTCCTCCCACAAAGTCTTCACTAACATTCCAATGAACATGCTCTCCATTAAAACTCAACATACATTCTAGATTTTATTTCCAAAAATTTTAACCTACCCTCAATAGAATTTGTAATCTCAGTTATATATACAATTGGCAAAATTATCAAAATCGCATTCCTTCGATCATATGCTAATCGAATCTAAGATGAGATGTCGATATCATGCACATGAAATCATAATTTGCAATTTATTAATCGTAAATTAAGTAATAATTTTTCCCTTATGAAACCAAAAGTTCAACAAATCCACATTAAATAATAATTTAATAAACACCCAAACTAATTTTTTTGTAAAAAAAATCAAAATTCACAATGATCAAATCCAAGTTACTATTAGAAAATCCAAATTGTAATAGTTTTGACCAAACATAATCACATATTCAAATCAATCATGCAATAAATAGTTGAACAGGAAAACAACAATAAAATTTATCAAATAAGAAATTCAGGCATTAAATCAGAAGTTTCAGCCATACTTGAGGAATTCACACTCAACTAGCACAGAAGTTTCACAGAAAGTAAAATTTTCATTAAGCAAATGATTATCCTTTACATGTCATAAAAATTACATATTTCTA